TTTAATAGCAATAATTCAAACAGGAATGGATTTCAGTTTCTGCTTTTGAATAAATGGGTCTTGAGTGCAGTAAAAGGAAGCTGAAAAAGTAATTTTCCATAATAGTGATTTTATATTTTGAGTTAAAGGAATATAAAGAAATAGCAATCAGTTTTCTCCATATAATCGAATTAATGTGTTTTGTAATGGTAGTTTTCTTTTACAAGGACTGAAGAACAGTGAATTATTTTTATTTGAGCAAGAAGTCCTTACCATTATAATAGTTAAACCTGTGGTCCTCTACTAGGAAAGCAAGCTGTAATCAACCACTTAGCTGTTACTGAATTACACTTATCTCCACTTCGCCTGTTTAACTTCCCATAAGCATGCTAAGCACCTCTTTAGAATGCATTGAACTCTAATTATTTCTTGCTTTATGTATCCCTTAGCCCACATTGAAGAAATAAAAAATATTCTTATTGGTATACAGTGCAGAGTAACACAACCTGGTCTTGTTTTATTTAGTTTGTATGCAGAGTGAAATTTTAACAGCTTTGGGTCCTTCAAAAATAAAACCACCATGCGTAATGATTGAATTTCATGTCAAGTGACACTGATGAAAATGTTTGTAAGTAATGGGCCAAATTCACAATTGCGGTAGGGTGCAAAACTGCATAATTCAACCTTTTGACTGTCTGATTACCAATTTGCAGAACCTATAGCCATGCCATGGCTATAATCTAATGTCTTTCTGAAGTCATGGGGTACACTTGATTTGTGGGGTTTGTGCACAAAAAACCCCATTGTCGTGTTTTTGGTTTAAACCATGACAGGAACCTGTACATTAATACACCTACATTCATATAGGTGTATTTTTTTCCTGAAGTCAAAGCATGAATGGTAGAATAGCTGGCTTTATGCTTGAGTGAGAGCATTTTACTTTCTTTTCACTGGAGGAATTTTTAGCCTGGCAGCAATAGCATTGTAATAACTGCCAGCTGCTCACTTGGCACAAGAGTGTCTAGAACCAAGAGGAAGAGCCTGGTGTATCATATGTATAATTTACTTTTCTCTAAAACTTGAAGGTTGAGGCCTCATAAATATTTTCATCTGGTCTTTCATGGCCTTTGTACACATCAGTCTGGGAATATGCATGTGAAGCAAAGCTTGCAGATTTTAGTTTGGAGTACATTGTAATAATTGCCACCATGATAAGAAGAGAGATTATTCTGGCAGATTCATCTGCGAGTGGGTGGTCAAGAAAAAAGGAAAAACTTTAATGTTAAGCAGATGGACCTCCCTTATTTTATATATTGGGGATGCAAGATAATCATCTCCCCAAATATTGGATAGTATTGATCTGGTTTGCACATCAAAAGCATAAGGTTGAAAAATTATTTCTGAGGTAGAAACTCAGGAATGGAGACTTTTTAAAATCCTGTTCTTGCCCACCACTGTCAGGGCAATGATGCAGCAGAAATTAGGACTGGAAGGGTTCACAGGAGCCGTTGTACCTTTCTCCACCTGTAAACTCACAAGTTTACAAGTGTAAGTCACAGAGCACTTCTTCACCCATAGTACAACTTTACTCTTTGATATTTAAAATTGGCTTCAGAAACTTAAGTGTACCAAAGGAGAACTCAGGAAAGACTATGTTAAACATCTTTATTTCTAAATGCTCATGACACATCTGGAAATAGACCATACAGTAGTAGGAAGTTGTTAGGAAGACCTGTTGGTCTCTTCTGGTCTGGTAGTCAGCTTAACCTTAAGTGTCTGAGCAGTAAACACTGAGACACCCAAGAAAGTTATACCAGTAGGTGCAAGCTCCTTGCATCTTTACGTTTCATTCCTTGTAGTGGACTATCTCCAGTGAAATTAGAGGGCACTGAAATTCAGGCCATGTCACCTGGATCCTTGAAGGAAGAGAAAAATTTTCCTGGTCATAAAGACATCCTGGGATGCACATGGGTGGGAGTGTGATATTTGGGAATTCGGAGCTCTGAACTCTAAAGGAATATGTGTTTTGAAGCATGTTGTTTAATTTGCTTCACAGTTTTTTATTAAAAAAAAATAGTATGCCTTCTTTCTTGGCAGTCTTTCTCTGTGTTAAGTAGATTGTTTGAAGAAGGAGCTGTCTTATTCAAAGTCCCACGCAGTAGTCAACTAATGAGTCTGTGATCTCAGCTGCTGGTGTAATGTAAGTGAATGCTGCTTTACTATAGCAAAACACTACTTTAGTGATACTTTTTAAAGTGAGATTTGTGTCAAGCCTGATCTGTTTCACACGAATGTGAAAGCAGCATTTGATTGAAAGCAACTGCAAAACCTCAACCTGCTATGCAAGTTCCAAACTTTCAGTTAGGAGTTCCCACAGCTAGGGATTGCAGTTTGCTCTAAATCTTGTTTGACATGTGGATGAGGGAGTAAAGAAGTGAAAAAACTGGAAGAAACATAGAAAGGTGACAGAGTTTAGGAGTCTTCCATGCTGACTCTAACCAGTAGCTGTTAAGGAAGATGTCATTCTCTCTTTCCTTCTCTCATTGTTTTTGTTACAATACAGGGGTAAGAGTATATCCATGCTTGTGCGTTCTTCCAGCCGCATATGCACAACACCTGTGGTTAATGAGAATCTGAGAGGAAGTGGTTCTTTCTCTATACTTTTTATACTACTTACTTTCCCCCTCCTTCCTCCTGGAGATACAGGGCAATGAAAGAAGGAATTTACCCAGATTTATGCTTTTTCTGTCATGTACAGCCGTATGCGTCTTGGGATATTACAATTTGGTCCATTTCTCCTGCCCTTCTGCTAAAGTTCCATCATATTTTTTAGTTCCCACGTTTCTCTGACAGAAGGATGATAATATGCATGGGATCTGTTTCTGCTTCAGCTACTTAGAGATTGTGAGTGGCAGAGGGGCTGACCAGCTGCTGCTGCTTGTTCAATGGAGTTACTGCCTCAGTTGCTTTCAGGAACAGAAGAAGGATCTGGGTGCTCTACGGGTTGAGGGTGTGAGGAGGGCTTCTTTCTGCACTGTCACCAGAACTGTGGAAGTCTGTCATTTTTCATGCAGGTTTTCCTCAGAAGCTTTCAGTGCTCTATGCGAGATAAATGTAGCTTCAGAAAGAGGCATTGTCAAATTTATCCTGACTTATCTCAGAAGAAGTAGCAAAACTGGAAGTGAAGTTTTGACTTTCTGAAGCAGTCAGTTTGGATGAGCTTCTGCCTACCTTCTCTGGGGTTGTATGTCTCGTTTGACTTGACTGTTCACTAAATGATCACTTGCCAAGCTTTCTCATCAAAACCCAAACTGACACAAACAGGAATGTATAAGCTTAGATCCTTAGTGCTTGGAATTCTTAAGTTAAAAAAAAAATTAAGAGCGAACTGTTTTTGTTTGTTTAATTAGGTTTTATGTCTTCCATATCTGTGGGGATGCAGTGTTCTAAAATGAGCTCTACTAGATGAGGCAAAGCTGTAAGCGTTGCACACTGATGCCTCCCAATGACCAATATAAAGCAGCACACTGTATATTTGTAAAACTCTTCACCTCCCCCATTCATAATGGCATCATTAGATCATCTTTTTAAGTAACTATTAAACTTTACATGTACCAGCTAGTGAGTGTCTTTGCATTTAATTCTCATTTAATGTTGTGCAGTGATTGCATATTATCAAGGAGGAGACAGCTGCATCATTTTATTATACATGTACACGGGGCCAGTAACTCTTCTATTTTTAACACAGTAGTAAGAATTCTATAGAAGATGAAATGATAGCTAGCATACGTCTAATCTTTAAAAGGAATATTAAATTAAAAATTCAGTGGAAATATCAATGTGTATAAATTTCTATCTACTGCCTTATGGCAGAATCTTTTGTTGCCTAAATAGCCAGTTGTATTATTTTTAGTATTTTCATACTTCAAAAAATAACGTTCTCTGCGTGTTCCTGTCTCTTTTTCTTGTCTTTTCAGTCACATCTGTGTTTAAATAAGGCCACCATAAACCTACTCATTTGTGGAAAAAAATCTGGTTTATGGGACAACCTAAAAATCCAGGAAGATGGCACCACATTCCAGAGGCAGCATTCTTGGTTCAAAGTCAATTGATTTTTAACCCACACTGCGTAGTTTAAAATGGTTAGATTTTTTCCTTTTTTTTCTTTTTTTTTTTTTTTTTTTAGCTCAGGGGTTGTCTACTGCTATCAGTTCTTTTTTGTATGTTTATATTGGTAGAACTTAATGAGATTACATGAGATTACCTGTAAACTTGCCACCTACCTACAGTGAGTCTTATGAATATTTGATGATAATAAGTAGTAGGAACTTCACTCTTATATTCACATGCACTTTAAAAAAACAGCAGCAGAAGGATACCTTTTTTTTGTTCTGCTTTTTCACTTATGGTAAACAGTATGATGATTATATACATGCTAATTATTACATGCTAATTATCTAACATATTGCTGTTCTTAATACTAGGAGCTCCATTTAAATCATATTTCTCTTCTAGGAGGGGAAGAATGCAGGACAGAAGACAATTCTTATGTAAATTTGTGTAACAAAAAAATACAGTGGAACATACTCACTGTTTTGCAGATGCAGCCGTGGTCTACAAAATCTAAAACTGGTATCTGTAGGTCAACAATTTTGTAGAGTTCTATGCCATGTTTTTGGTCTATCCAGCATCACCCTATAGATCCTATAGGCAATACATTTGCGTCATATTGCAAATCAGACATGGTCTGTCAACAGCAGGCATTGCCTTTTATGTTCTCTTGGTCTGTGCCTGCTACGCAACTATATTTTTCCTTACTGAAGTGGTGAGGACAGCAGCAACAGCTCCGACATTTATCGTTATAGGGGTTTTGTATTTAAAATAATCTGACATAATAATTACTAGAATTATTTTTTCCAGTAGCTCCTGCAAATTGAGAGTGTAAAATCTGTAAGTTTATTAATGCTACTATAGCATTTTTCTTAAAAAGTGGTGCTTTACAGAATTTATTTTTCTTTCAGGGCATCAGTTTCCTCTTATTGCAGCTCAGGATCTTCAGTTTGTTCTGAAGGCCGGATACCTGGAAAAACGCAGAAAGGGTAAGTTCAACTGTCTTTGTCAAAAGTAGTGTATATTTTCTATCTGTGAAGTCTGTGTGTCAGTATTTGACGTTATACACACAAATAACTTCATACAGGAGTGTTAAAACGAAATAGAGGCTGAAATGTTGAAGCATTATTATGCAAAAGAAGCAGAGCACATATTTACTCCTGTAGTATTAAAAGAAAATCTTATTTCTTTATTGACTAACAAAATCCTGCTGTTCAAGTCCACTGTCAGCCACAATTCAGAGACTTATAGATATTTTTGAGGAAAAAATTAAGAATATATGTAAAAGTACCGTATGTTGACTTCATGTTTCAGTGAGCATCAAGATTTATTTTCCTTCAAGAGGGCAAATATTGATCTCAGCTTTGGTTCGGTCAATATTTACCTTGATTCAATAAATCTTATATTGTCACTTTAATACCCACTTAATGCTGCGATAACTGTAGGAAATATTTAGGAAGTTGATAATTATTTCCTTATATTTAATGTTACACATGGCTTCTCTCTTTATATGATTTCAAATTCCCATTTGTTTTCTTATCACCAGTTTTTATTTCCTTCTCAGTGCCATACATTTCTCTTCATGCCCAGGTTTTGTTTCCTTTCCTTAGTGCTTTTCCAGTCTCCTCCTGTCTCTTACCCCAACCTTGAAAAGAAGTAACGTATTGATGTTCAATAATGACGGTGATGTAACAGAAATTATATCAATTGCAGACCACAGTTTTCTTGGCTTTGAGTGGCAGAAGCGTTGGTGTGCTATCAGTAAGACGGTCTTCTATTACTATGGAAGCGATAAAGGTACTTGTAATAATGATGATAAACTATAAAAACAGTATTTTAATGAGAGAAAAAAGTTTTAGTGGAGGTCATTTTAAGAAAGCAAATGGAAATTTTAAAAGAATAGATGGTTCTTAAACAGTGCTTTGAATTTTAAAAATGTGTCAATATTCTTCAGAATCTGTAAGTGATGTACTCATTTATTAGAGAGGGGAAACTGAGGAAAAAGGGTTACTTGTAAAGCTACTTTGTGCATCAATAACAGCTAGCTGTTAGGTTTGATACTATGCTGGTACTCAGTTGATTTACTGGACAGAAAATATTCTTTCTGTCTAAATGGAATCTTAATTTTAAAACACTCTCTGGCAATTATACCTTCTGAGCTCTTTAAAGATGGTTCTATCCAGGAAAGTGTTAGTCTGAAAACCCACATAGTTTTGCAGGGAGCATAGAGTTCCATGTTTCTTTCTAAATGCCTTATGTTTTGAAAAACCTAGAAATTAAATAATATATTTAATTAAAAGCCAGTCCTGGACACTAAAGCTAGCTCGTGAAAGTGACTTTTAACTTTTACTGGCCAATCTAGAAAGAGTCTGACATAAATGCTTTGATATCACTTTGAATTTTTAAAATTGACAGTTAATAAACATCTTTTAAATTGTATGCTAAGTGTATTTGATGTCTAAGGGTAGAACAAATGATACAGAAATAGATCTGAGTAAATTTTATAAGTGCAATTATGTTGTCCTCTCCTCCCCCCCAAAACCCCAACAACCAACCTGTGTACTTATTCCTGGGCAAACTATCTGTTGAAACTTTTTTCTTGAGATCAGTGCAGGTAGTTATTTTGTGGTGTTTTATTCAAAGACTAATTTGATCCAGTTTGTTTCATTCTTCAATATGTGCTGACTCATTTATTTAAACTCACCCTTTCTCTAAAACCAAAAGAAATAATGTTCTAATTGAAAGTCCAGTTTTCATCTCACGAGTTTCCCATCGTATTCTCCATTTCTAGTGTTTTGTTAGTATATCTGCTAAATGTTTGCTTTTCTTCTTCACTCTTTTATTGGGATTTGTAGACTGAGGAAGATTCAAAACCTTTTAAAGAGTCTTTATTTAAAATTTTTGAGGAGGTGTGGCATTAACAGTGACTTGTCAGTAACGATTCATTTCTTTCTCTGGAAAATTATCTTCTGATATTTGTTTTTATGTAGTTATACATTACCTAATACTTTAAAAAATGGATTTTTTTTTTTTTTTTTAGTTGGGATATATTGCTGGTTCTTACAGATTTTGTTTTTGGGAGGAGGGGGAAGAGATGGGGGGAACCAAAACAACCAACCAAAAAACCTCCCAAAGCATCCAACCAACCAAAAAACCCCAACCACAGAACAAAGAAGGGAAGGCTTGGTAATTTTTATTTCTTCTCCTTGTGCCTATGCTGATAATCACTCATGATTTCTAGTACATGGTCTTTGCATTAAGGCAGGCAACTGCCTGCCTGCCCTTCTCCACCCCTTTTTTTTTTTCTTTTTTTTTTTTCTTTTGCAACAACCTGACTATCCAGGCTGCATCATGACTGCTAAAAGTTAAGATGCATGGAATCATGTTCCCTAAAATGCACAGAAGCACTTTGCTTAGCCTTCGACAAGTTGATGTCATGTTAGGAATTGACTGTGGGATACGTGGGATTTCTTTCCGTTAAGAATCTATAGACAGATGCTTTGGCTTATACATTTATAGCTTTTGTAGGCTGCAGATTGTTTAGGGAAGATCCTGCTAACTGTAACCTAATGATATGGGGAGAGGCATATAATCCATGTAAATAATGTAGGCATGGCTGGGCTCCAAAAAGTAGTAGCTCATGGAGGAAGTAAACAAATTAGGTGCATGCATTTCTGCCCTACCCCATGTGACTGGTGCTGTTAGTGCAATAAAACTAGTGTAGCATGGTAGAATTGTTTCATCTTGCAGATCTGGGATGATCAACAGTCACTCCAGAACTTGCCTTTGAAGCAGAAAGCTTTTTTCTATACTTGGTGGAGGTACTCTTTTTCAGCCCTGTGATGCTGTAGTACATAAAGGTGTCAGTTCCAGTGCAGAAGCAAATCACCATCATTGTGCAGAAATTGAATACCAGTGACTGTTGTAGTTCCATGGCAAACTAGTTTGCTGTTGAAACTGAGCTGATGTCCTGATGGCTGTGAACGTGTGTGCTGCTGTTTATCACACTGTTTAGCTGCAGGTTGTCAGCATGGATGAGGTGTGTGATGAGACTATCCTGAGATCTGGCATTTAGTTGCTGGAAGAACCTGAAACTGTTTTCACTCCAACTATTACAGTCAGCAGTATAGTTCTATGATTCTATGATTCTATAGTGCGCTGTTGCATTGGGACCCTTCTTTTGCTGTGGCCCTTGACGCTGTACCAGATAACTTGGACCACATAGAAGATCAGTGTGTGCTCTTACCAGCTGCAGCATATGGGTGAAGTGTGCATTTGTGTGGCTTCATGCAAATTGTTACCACCCCCTGAATCATTGGAGTGGTGTCTGTCTAAATGATGCTGGTCTGCCCTTGCCTGTGCCACGTCTGCAAGTGTTTTGTATCAGGTTTCTGACAGGTTCCAGGGCTGATTCACACACCAGGAATATTCCCCCCTTGTTGAACCTGGTTTGAAGAGAGATGGGGATTCTATACATGCTCAGTCCTGCTGCCTTAATCACTTTTACTGGGTAATGGAGTGCTAGTGCCTGTGTGTGTGTTGGGGGACATAATGCAGAGAGGCAGCAGGGATTTCTTAGGTCCTGCTTGGCTTGTTTTACGTTGTGTATGTTTTTAAAACTGGACACATGGGTGAGTAACTGTGAAGGATATTTTGTATCTGGTGCAGTGTGTATTTTGTTGGGCAAAGTTTGATTTTCATGCTTACATATCAGTGTAAATGTAACTGAATGCTAAATGTGAGGCTGCTGGATGCCTTTTTATTAGGTTGTGTGGATTTGTTGTTTCCAAAATACTTCAGTTCTTCTAACACTATCCTTTTTACATCGGGAAAACAAGAAGTATGGAAGTGTATAAGGCTCACAGACGCATGTAAGTAAAACTCTCATTTATTCACAGCTGAATGATGAAAAATATGAGGCCTAGTCCAGGAGAATATAGTACAAGCTAAAGCTTGTGAAAATACAGTAAATGACTGTGTGTTTGTGTATGTGTGTATGTTCACCTAATAGATTACAAGCATGCTTTTAACAGTTGTGATGCCTGCAGGGCAAGGAATGTCTTGTTTCACTGCTTCCTCCTGTATTTTCTCATACATTTGGTACACTGCACTGGATAGTGAAACAGTGTTATTTATCCTTGCAGTATAGACAGGACTAAGTGAATCACCTACATTTTTCCCCCACCCGATCAATGATACGTGGAGTAGATGGAGGAAAAACGCTTAAAGGTTTCACCTAATTCATGTCAAAAATGGGTATTGCAGGAGGCGCATGTGTATTTGTGCTTGTGCTGTGGTATCTGTTGCCAGCATGTGGCCCACAACACTGCAGAGAAGCACATTCAAATGTCAGAGCTGGCTTGGATTTCCAGAAGCTTGCCTGGTCCTCCTTTTCATAGTCTTTCCTTCCATAAAACTTGTATAATCCTTCTCTTTTCTTTCCTTCCATGCAGTTGCATCCTGAGTTAGGTACCCTGTTTTTTGCATATCATTTCTCTATGTGATCTCTGGCAGTTCCTGTGTTCTCAAGCATCTGGGTTGTATGGCTAACCTTCCAGACCTAGAGGTGCATGTGAAGAAGGAAAGTTAATTAGTTGCTTTGTAAATGAATGAATTAATGACTTCGTTCCTTCTTCCTCACTAGGCCACAATATTATATGCCCTTCTGTCTCAGCAAGCTGGAGAGATCAGCTAAATGTTTAGCAAGGCAGTAATTGATAACATCATGGCAATTTTCTCCACTGTTAATGGGCACTAAAAATTTATTTTAATCTTTATAACTCGAAAAGGGTATCTGCCTGCCTGCCAGTAATATGATATTAAAGAGAGGGACAATTCAGAGGCTTTTAGAAGTGACTGAGGTTTTATTTATATACTTATTTAGTATTTTTAACATGGACATAAAAATTATGTATTTCTCTGAATAGGAAGACAGTGGTGGCCAGACCAATGGAATCTTCTTATATTTGTGTAAAAAACCGTGATTTTGTTTTATTTTCTGTTCTGTTTTTTTTTTTTTTGAAGAACTTGGTGACTAAGTGTTATTAAGGGAGAGCGAAATCATAGTTACTTGCCTCAGCAGGCTACTGGAATTTCTGCCACATGCTAAACTCACAAATTTCTCCTACCATTTTGCTTATAGCTACAGACCTCCTTCTTTTAGTCCTCCCTGTCTGAACAACCAGATAAAAAAAGGCAAAAATCCTTGTTTAGTTTATACTTTTGACAGAATCAGTAACAGAAATCTCCAGGAATTGTGGATATTCAACAGGACTTTGTAGCAGGGGAATGGCAATCAAAGGCATCTATCGAATGAGTACTGAATCTTCTGCTATGAGAATGTTAAATTCAGGCCTTGAAAAACACGCTTGCCATTAACAGTGCATTATTTTAAAAAGTAACTATTGAGTAAAAAAAGACTGCATATAAACAAACTGATGCCCTGAATAGTTTCAAGAATTCCCTCTGTTTCTTAATTTTTTTTTTTTTTTTTTTTTTTTAGTTTAGATTTCTCAGAGGACTAGATTAAAGGAAAGAGAGAAAAAGTCGATTGCATTTCAGGTCTGCTATCTAAAAGGGAAGAACTCATTTGCATTCTTTTGGAAAGGACTGTTCCAAAAGCAGGAGAAGGAATTACTGTTTTGGAGATACTGACACTATTTTTAGGAAGCAGACATCCTGCATATGGAAAAATATGTCAACTAAATTTAGCATGAAGCCATGTAAACCTGTAAGATTTTACAGGTTCCTAATTTCAAGATGAAGAGAGTTAAATTATAGATTCTAATAGTATCTATAAATACTTTATCAGTGTCTGAAATCTTTCTGTTTGCCTTTGTTCCTTATGCCTTTCTCTGTAACTTCTTTCCTTTCTACTACCCGAGTCTGCTCTGTTCTTCAGAATGCACTAATTCATTTTACATGTGCTAATAATATGGGCACATCGCCTTAGGCCTCAAATTTACAACCCAATCATTTCAAGACCCCATTGAAGGTTTACCCTTCTTTGTTTTAAAAGTTCCCATGGACTCAGTTATGCAAGGTTACTTCAAACCCCTTTTCTCTGCTTCCCTTGAGACTCTTTTCTTCCCTGATACAATATTGGACCTGTTTCCGTTGTTAACAACATTTAAATATTTTTAGGATGAATGAAGCTTATATGTACGAAAAATGTTTAAAGTGGCTCTCAAATTTAATGCAGATCTGCATTTTCTCTGTTTCAAATACAGCTTCCCATATTTATTTCTCTCGAATATCTATGTACTAGATTTGACCTTTTAATTTTTCTTAAACTAGTTCCTGACACTCTACTTTGTTATACTGGTGTTTTACAATTCTAAATTCTGGATGCAAAATGGTCCACCCAGACCCAGATTTATTCTTCTGTTATGTGCCTGATAAGGGAGAAGGGAAGAAGAAGAGGAGGAGATGAGAGCAAAGACCAGCTTATTCTGAAATGAGATTTAACTGAATTGTGGAATGACTTATGCTTGGTATTTGTGATCCTTTTTGTTTTCACTAGACTGATAGTATACTTTTTGCAGCTCTATTCTGTGTTCTACGACAACCTAAGGATATCCTGTTGCTGAATTGCAAAGCTCTACTTTGAGAAAATAAGAAGCAGCAAGAATGTTACCATTCTTTAGAGAAGCGCATTCCATCCACGTCTCTCCCTTTTTCCTCCTAAATATGCTGTTGTATTCCTTCCTGCCTAGGCAAAACTCCAGTTCTGACTTAGTAGTTCAAAATGAAAGTGAAATCTCTGTAATGTAAATGTGCTTCCTGAAGCTGCTTTTAAGGCTCCTGTCATAAACCCCAACGATACCTCATTTTAAGTCTTCAAGAAAAATCTTTTAGTCTTCAAAGTTTTTAAACATCAGTAACTGTTTAACAATAGAACTCCGAATGTGAAAGTTCACAGAAATCACTGTGGCACTAATTTCACACAGCAGCTTTAAACAGAAAGCCCAAGTCTGTCTGCACCCCTGTTTAGCTGCAAGGCCTTGCCAGTAAACGCAGTTGAGATGATTGTTGAGTCGGACACTTACAGGATGGCCCTGCATTCAAGCTTGCACCTGACTATAGGGTCTGGCCAAACAGCTACCATGGGTCATGTTTTGCTCCATGGTGATCAGGTGATGGGGCTTGTCTCCAGTCTACCTGGAAAAGTATAGTCTGCAAGAGCAACTTGGATTTGTAGACCTCCATTGCTTGTCACCGTCTGAGCATGCAACTAAGCTGTAGCTGACCTGTGTCCTGCCATTCTGTATTTGTGAAGCCATTTCTCAGGATGTACTAGGTCTTATCTCTGGCTTGCTGCCACAGGGAGTGTGAATGCATTCTGAAAGTCTTTCAGCTTTAATGGGTTCTGGGTCAGCGCTGTGAAGTGTTTCATTGTCTTAAAATTTCCCCATGGTTAATACTTCAAGTGTGTGTGAAATGCTACACTGGACTTTAGTCAGAGCTACTTTACTGGACAGACAATTAGAAGCAAAAGTAGCAATGCTTTGACGACTCTGTTGCTATAAAGGTCAGTGAAAGAATTTAATAGCAAGGAGTATGTGTTGCTTTTTTTTTGTGGTGCATACAGGTAATTTTCATTAGCTCTGGAATGGTGTGTTCAGAGAGATAAGACACAGACAGTATTAACAATAAAACCAATCAAATGCAATATGGGTACCATGCACTATGTTTCCCTTCCAGTGCAAAGTACAGCATCTTTGTGTTTTAACTGTAATTCTCTTTGAAAGAACAAGTACTAGTACAGAGATCATCTCTCTATAAAACTGTATTACCATAAAATGGACCATACATGTCGCAGAGAAACAGTCTCAGAAATAATCCAAGAGACTAAATTTGAATACTTGCCTCATTTTTATCTTGACAAAATGTTTTTAACTTTTGAACCTGGTGTTTGTTTATTCTGTCTGCGTGCTCCTATCTTCTTGGGTTTTGATAAACCTCCAGCATGGGAGAGTGAGAAATTAATGTCTTTCACTTCATCTTCTCCCTGAGGTCACAAGTGAAGGAACAATAAAATTTCAAGGCAGAAATGAATTTTGTTAAAAGGGGACCTGGTTAACCTATTGCAAGTTATTATTTCTTATATCTGCCTTGCTGTGATTCCATGAATTTGGTGTTATGTGTGCTGTTTGATATAGGAGTGGAGGATCGAGCAAATAAAAAGCATTAGTACTGTGCTATTAGTATTTAATTAAGACATAATCAAAGTTACTGTGGGGGAAGGGGTGAGAAGGGACAATAGAACAGTACCCTGGATTTTTTTTTCATATAATTGTGTTATTTGGTATTTACTTGCTCTGGGTGAGAGTTCATAAAAAGGTGGAAGGACAAAGAATTTGTGTTTATGTGCTTGTAAGATTACTGGCAGGAGTAGTTGTATGGTGACTGCCCTGATGTCCATTGATGTTGATGTTGCTATGTTAGCCAATTTTTGCCCCCTCGTGATTGGAAAAAAGATAAGATCTCTTATTAAATTTCCAGGAAGATGACAAAGTTATGTTGAAAATTGTAGTTTTTTTCTGTTTTGTCTACAGTAAGAAGTTTCTTTCTCTTATTGACAAGCATAAGCAATGGATGTTTGATTTGCACTTAAGTTCTGTTCAGCAATACTTAAAGTAGTTTTGTTGTTGTGCCTGATGCTTATTGTTAATTTTTCTCTATTGTGGAAAAATCCCATACTTAATGGAATTTTCTTTCATTTGGAACTGCATTTCATTTTTTGTTTGCCTGAGCAAAATGTGACTGATGATGATGATGATCTTCACTTGATACTGTATTCACTTGATTTCTGTGATCTACAAAAATTGCAAAACTGAGTCACTTTTAGTTTTTAGGTTTGCTTTTAATATTCACCAAAACATATCAGAGCATATAAAGTCAGATGAAGGGTTTGGCCTGAAGAGCTCAGAAGGCATGCACAGGTGCCGCCTGCCCACCATGTAGTGTTTTTAAACTCAGGTTTATTCTAAGTGATACTTTTATAAACCAGAACCTTTGAAAAGTAGAATTGTCTTTAAAACAACCACATGGCACAAACACATGGCTCTACATAATAAACTGTGGTAGGGCTCAGTGCTTTTATTAGCTAATTAAATATTTGCTGTCTAGAGAGAAATGCTTTTGGAACACACACCTGAATTTATAACAAAATTCATTCTGTACTTCTGCCATGTGGAAAGAAGGCACATCTGGGAACGGGTGGGGGAATGTGAAAAGAAGCTTTTCCAATTGCTTATAAAGGAGTTTGAAGTTTATTTTTTGAGTGAAGTGGTTAGTTTAGAAGGGTGCTCAGCAAGTTCTGAGCTAGACAGGTTTTCCCATTGGTTTACTGCCTGAAAAAGACACTGATTTATAGGAAACGTGTCTTGCAAGTTCCAGTTCTTGACTTTTCCTAGATACAAGTGTCATAACATGCACTTCTTACTAAATAAGACCACCATCTGCAAACATCCCCCTCTGAAATTCCTTAGGCATCCTACAAAAAAATGCACTTTGTGTACATATTCCTTTAAACCAAAGCTTTATCTTCAGCAGCATCACTTAATTATTTTGCTAAAAATCTCCCTGTTCTTTGTAAAATTCATGAAATAGAAAACAAAATCTGAATAAAAGATAACCTGCTGAGCCACTTACGTTCACTGTTGTAAATGAAGCTCTAACTTTGTTTTTTATCTCCAACAGACAAACAACAGAAAGGTGAATTTGCCTTAGAGGGCTACACCATCAGAATGAATAATAGCCTTCGGAAGGATGCAAAGAAAGATTGCTGTTTTGAAATCTCCGCTCCTGATAAGCGCATTTATCAGGTTGGACTTTTTTTATGTTGACTTGAAATTAAATTGATAAAGCTGTTACAATTCCAGTTACTAAATTAACATTTCAGTAAAACAATTTTCACTGACATCTTAATGGAAAAAGGAAACCCTTGCTTGCTTATATATTAGGAAAAAAAATCTGATTTAAAATACGTATGTGTTCAAATATTATCTTTTTGGACAAGAGCAGAGAAATCTGTCATCTTTATCTATTGGTCACTTCAACATTAGCATTTTAATATCTGTTGTATCGTATGTCTGTGTGATTTCTTGGATGAATTAGTAAAAAAAGTTAAAATATATATTAGTGTTAAATACATATTGCATCGGTCATGGCTTTGCAAAGAAAATCAACGTAAAGGCAGATGTCAGCTGTGCAATTCAGAGATCTATCAGCTAGACATCAATATGGAATGTAAGTTTAATAAGTTTTAAATATCTAAGATTGCAGTTGAAAGCCAGTTAATTAAGCTGTCAGGTAGTGTGTTGGAGTCTGACAAGAACATTTTTAAGAAAACTGTACCCAGCAGTCTAAAGAAATTCATGGGTGTCTTCTAATTGTCAAGGGCAAATTTTGTTCATCAGTTCTGGCTTTGACAATGATGAAGAGAAGCAGCTTTTTTCTGCACAGCTGCCAGCTGCTGATCAGAGTTTCAAATCCATCATCCTCTCCTTCAATTACTTAAATTTGTCAAAATTAGCTGTACATTATAAGAAGCATCCTTGCAAGAAAAGTACCAGAAGACATGAAAAGAATTTCTAATGGTTTCTTGAGGAAGTGACGAGAATGCTACAGTCCCTCTTTTTTATTGCCAATGAAATTGTAGTTGTGTTTTTGTCATTACTGCTAGTAGTTATTAATAAACATTTAATAGTTTACAGCTGCCACTCCCAAAGAAGCAGAGGAATGGGTACAGCAAGTCAAATTTGTCATCCAAGGTAAGCCAGCCAGTAAAGCAGTAGACTTTGCTAGTACTGCTTAGTGATGGTAGTTCTGTCCATTAACATTATCTATCATTTTTGTATATGTTATATTCTCCCTTGTCCAAGCTTTGAATAACAAGTCCTATTTTTCAATCATACAGCTTTCGTATGACTTTTCTCCTTTTGTGAGATTTTTGCTTTTCTCCAAGAAAAGTATTTATCTTGAAAGCTCTCCCTTACTGAACATATAAGAAAATAAGCAGAGTATACTGCAAACACCAGGTCATAGAAGAATTGTGGTTTTCTTTGCATGATTTTCTGCTAAGGCATTCTTCTGTAGTAAATGTTAACTTTTTAAACTGCTGTTGCATAGATTCAGGATCTAATACTATTCCCGAGGAGGAAGAAGAGGATTATGATGACGTTTGCCATGTGAGCAGTGAATCAATAGATGATAGCATTTACGAAGAAGTTAAAGGTATTGAAATTTTTTATTTTGTGTCTTGTAATCATTTTGTCTTCTCCACTTCCAGTTTGGTAACTCTGAGTGGCTAGAAGTAAGTGAATGACATAATCAGATGAGTAAGACACTTTCAGATTTCAGGTTTTGTTAGGACATTAAAAAGAAAAAGTGTATTCAACCAGATCTGAGTGAGAACAATTCAGTTTTCTTTATAAGGGCATCAGAATAGTGCAGCATGTGTAGAAGTCGTCTCAGGGGACTTTTGGCGCATTAAGATTCTCTGGAAATTGCCTTGCCTTAAAGCTTTTTCCACCACCTTGCCCATCATATTTTCTTTATTAATTTTGGAATTTGTATGAAGCAAAAGTTCACTATCATGCCATATGTTACCAGCTGTTGCCTAATACATGATGTTATAACCCTGCAAGAAAGCAATGCGTTTGTTGGAAAAGGCACTGGAGATTAACTGTAAATAAACTGACATGAGTTTTGACACTGTTTTGTTTCATATCTTCCTGCATGATTATGAATATACAGAAACTTTTTACTGTGGACTTTTTGATGTGGTAAAATGATTATGCCTCTAAATGTCCAAGTGTATCTATCAGATGGCAAAACAAAAGAAAAAGCTGGTGAAAATCTCTTGGAGTTGATTGTAGGCATTCAAGTATTAGGAGAAAGGTAGTCGTTCTTGGTTATATTTTAAGAAGCTATGAAAAAGTCAATGTTTCAGTCACCATTAGTTAACAAATGGTATTTTAAAGTGATATGACAATTAATAATCACTTTGTATAAAATAATATTCTTCACTCCTTGCTGTTTGGGGCAGTGCAATTATCAGCAATAACTTGAGAGGAAAAATTGTGTCATGTGGTGCTAACTTTCTGTATCTGTTAGATTCAATATTCTGACCACTGGAGAAAAGAACGGTTTACAGTATGCCTCAGTTTTCATTTTACGGTCATTTCAATGAACCAAGGGAGCAGGGAACACGAGTGAAAATTACGATCATAAAATTGTAAAATTGTAGCAGCACTCAATTCTTTAAGAGCTAAGTTGTTTCTTTTTTGTTCCATTTCCTTGGATTGTACCTACGCTACTCCAGCACAGAGCACAAGTTCTGCTGAAATGGAGTGCATTGTGTCATGCTTGCTGAAAACCTCTTCTGCAGTGAATAAAAAAATTCCATTACAGAACTTAATATTTTAGCTGGAGAATACAGGCAGATCTTATTTGCAGTGTTTTTTGAATGCTCAGGCTTTTACAGAAAGTGATCTTCTGTGCTTGCTTACACTCTGTTAAAGCACCTCTCGATGTATTGTGGGATAAATTCTCAAGTAAGTAAAATTTTACATTTTGGTGGCTTTTCAGTGTTTCTTTATATTAGCATTTCTAAAGCAAATTAAGATAGTTCACGATGCAGTCCATCTGGTAATACTGGGTTTTGTATTTGAATAAAGTGTTTGGATTAAAAGGGAATTTTTGTGCAGTTTTGAAAATTGGGAATTTTCAGGAACCATTGCAGTAATCAGGCCTAACTGATGATGGATATTTTAGCTATCTCATTGCTTAGATTTGTTTTTTATTTTTTATTTTTTATTTTTCCCATGTTTGTGGCAGGAGACAGTGTAGATGAATTTTCCAGGCAGCAGCCGGATAGCCCCAAGCCAGCATCCAGAATGGTAATAGTCTATTAGCCTATTAAAAGCACAGATTTCAGTGGCATTCAATTTGAAGTGTCTGCTGGCAGGAGGAGTGGGTTTACAGTTGGAAGGGGTACAAAGAGTGGTGGGAAGATTAATATTTTGATCTGATAAGTCACTTCTTTAACAGCACATAAAAATTCATATTTACTGTAGAAACATAATTTTCCTGGTTTTCAGCATTAGTTAGTGTTTTACTCTGGTTATTCAGGTAGAGTCAAGAATGTCAGAACTTCCAAAGATTTCCCAACTTGTAAATATTCCTTGCAAGATTCCTCAGGAATATAAAGCTTTATACTCTTTTCAACCAAATAAGCTTTTGCCCCTTTTTTTTTTTTATTAATAAAAACACAGAGGAAAACTTGGTTAGGCAAAATTATTACCAATAAAGGCCCATTTTTGCTTAATTAGCTATTTTCTGTCATAGTACACTCTATATAATTTTACAGTCCACAACTGGATATTATAAGGTGTAAATAACTTCTAAATATGTTGTATTAAATAGCTATGTGTGCCTATAAAGCTACCTAGATGCGTAGAGTTTCTAGGTTAGTGGTGTCTTAAACAACTATCCTTGTCAGAGGAGACAACACTTGCCAGCTTTAAAAATGTTTCCATCTGCTATAGCTCTTGGAGACTGATTTTTATTTTATTTTTATTAATTTGGGGTTTCAGTGACATAATGTTTAATGGCCTTCAGTATTCTCTTCTGTGGTTTCACATCTGTATGGAGCACATACTCAAAATTGCAATGTTAACTGCTGCCTGACACCTTCATCCTTTCTACAACATCAGCTCAGATCGTGTACTGTCTGGAACAGTCTTGCACAATAGGAGAAAAGAGGTGTTAATCTAAGTTAATATTTATGTTCATTTTCAATCTTGTGTTGTTTTTTCAATTCTGTTCTCTTTCTGGTCACAAACTTGCATTATAGCAGTAGATTCTGTGATATACAATCTAGTTTCCATTAAAATGGTTTGATTCTTACTTTGGTGGTGCTTGGTTTGTTCATGTAGGTGAAAAGATGACAATTTTAAGTAGGTCAGGTTGGTAATCCTGAAGCAACATGATGTGACCCAAGGCCTGTCACTGTTGGCTTTGTGCCATCTCTTCTCTGCCTGTCCATAATAGAGAAAACTTTTGGAGGCAGTGAAATTTGGTGCTATGGTGATCTCTGATCAGGGGAACTGCTGTGGAGAACTAACCCAGCCAATACAATTTGCATTAGTCTTCTACTGTAAATTAAGTTTGAGGGCTGATTCAGTCTCTGATTGGGCCAAGGATTGTGGGGATGGAAAGCTTGCTTTTGTCTTTTGATTCCTACAGTCAGTCCTCTGCCAAACAATTTGCCCATGTCAAGCCAGGTGTCCAGACAATACTTCTGTTTAGCAGTGTGGTTGGGAGCTTAGCTATGGAAACTAAGGCAAAGTTCAGGGAAAGGTAAGAAATGTCTTATACAAGAGAAAGTGTGCTATGCAGAGAAACACTTTTTGATGTTTACTGACTTTATTTAAAGTCTTTTAAGTAGTTTAAAATCATACTGATTTTGTTTCAGAACTTATTTCTGACATTGAGTAAGAAAGTATGTCTCTATCTTACGGTTATCTCTTTCAGCAGCTTTGTCACTTTAATTTTTTCTAACAGTTAGCCTCTGTAGTTAAGCAGCTTAACTTAATACCATCCTCATCTGCTGTTGCTGAATTGCTTGAGCTTTGAAGAAGAAAATTGTGCTTATGTTTTTGTGCCCTTTCCATGAGCATTGCAGGGGGAGGGAGAACATGATCTCTGATTTACCTCTTCTTGGGGAAGAAGGAAAATAATGATTATGTAGTAGAGTTTGAGTGTAAGTTACTCATGGACACCAACTCATAGCAAATACTTGTGTTCTCAAAATGTAGTGTCAGATGTACTGACTTTCTGGCACTAGAAGTGAAAATTTCACAGCACTGCATTAATGAAAATGCCTTTTCAGGAGAGCTTTGCTTATTTTAGAGCTTTCAATATATCACAGTCAGGGTTTGTGGGACCAACATAGCGTTTGGTGTCAAACTGTCCAAGTTGTGGATTATAGCTGTACTATCAGTTCCTAAAACCAGTAAACTAAAATGAAGAAACTGATAATTGGTTGTGTAAACTAGAGCAGTAGGTTTAAGTCAGCAGAGACATGGAATCTGAGGTGGTATCTGTAATCATTGCTGTTAAGTCAGTATATTACATATCATGGTATATTGTCCTCCCAACATTTGTTTGCCTCAAGTAGTTAGGCAATTCTTTACTTCTTGTCCAGAAAAGTTGTATATAATGCTGATGTGCTACCAATTTTTTATTTTTATTTTTTTCCACAGAAAGAATTGTAAGTGCTTTTAATAAGTAAATTAAGGGATTTCAAAGTATAAGTAGGGTCAGGAATATTTGAAGCTGAGAAGACCATGTGTAAGATGGGTATTTTCGAGGACAGTACTTATGATGAGTTTCCAAAGTGATTACTTTTGAATAATTTCCATCAAAATGTCTTTCAGGTTTGAGAACACAGCCAGAGATTTTTTTTTTTAATTTTTTTTTTTTTGTTTTAAAGCAGAGAGGATTCTTCAAAACTGTGTTTTTCAAAGATTGAATCCTGGTGGTGTTAAGAAATTAGTATTTTTTACTTGTTTAGCCATTGTGTTATTGTAATATATGGTGTGTTTTGCCTTTAATATCTTACTGATGGGTGGAGAATAAGGAGGAGTGGGTGCTACAGGGTTTATTCAGTTTGCTGCAAATTGAAAGTAATTAAAATACTACATAAGATCAGTGAAAAGCAGATGTAAACTACTTTTGGTGTCAGGGAATAGTAAAGACATTTTTTTCTGTCCAAGACGCATGGTTTGGTTTCCTTGATCACTGGGATTTGGGGTCTATTAAATGTCTTTGATTATATGTTAGACATGGAAATAAGTGAAAAATTGTATCTTTCAACTGTATATTGCTGAATCCCAGCTAGTATGTTGAAATGGAACTGTGTCTGAATTCTAGATCACTGTGGGTTTTGAGGCAGTACACTTATGGGAAGTATATACCTTGGAGTGTCCTTCAGCTGGTACTAAATCCTCACAAGACATGATTTAAGAATCCAGACAACTTTCTGTATGTAAAGACATTGCATCCAGGAGGTGGTTAGGAACTCGATACCTGGACCTCAGCTTTTGTTTGCCGCAAGAACTTGAGCTTTAATTTCAATTAATGTATTCCCACATCTAAAGAGGGAACCTTCTCTTTCTGTTGAGGTTGAGTGGCAGTGATGGAAGAGGAGGTAAGAAAATCTGGTGTAG